CCTTTTGTCTAGTTCAGTCCTCACTGAGGGAACACTGCAGGTAATGATGTCCTGAGAGCGCACGCTGTAGCTGCACTCACACAGAGACATGTGGGAGGAGATGTATGAAGGCAGCAGACCAGGAAGTGATTTAAAGATGAAAATGTACCAGTGAGAGAGTCTGTGTGAAGTTAATGGTGACCAGTTAACCAGTGAATACTGGGTGCAGTGGTGGGTACGATAATCACAGCCAGTTATGAATCTTAGTGCCCCATGATAGACAGCATCCAACATCTGCAGCATCCAACATCTGCAGGGTTCTTGTAGGAGCGTTCATGTAAATAATGTCACCGTAATCAATGAAGGGAAGGAAAGTCACAGATACAAGGTGTTTTCTAACATTCAGGGTTAGACAGGATCTGTTTCTGAAAAAGAAACCCAGTTTAACTTTCAGTTTATTTATCAAGTTTTCCACATGGAGCTTAAAAGAGAGATGAGAGTCGACCAAGATACCCAAATATTTATAGGAATCAACAAACTCAACGGGGACACCATTTGAGGATAAAATCGGAGGAAGAACTGCTGGGACCAACTTCCTGTTTGAAAAAAGCATCCCTTTGGTTTTGTCGACATTTAGGACAAGTTTGAGGTGGAACAAATCAGTCTGGATGTTGTTGAATGCAGATTTCAAAAGCTGGAAAGCCTTAGCAACTGTTTTAGCTCGACAATAAACAACTGTGTCGTCAGCATAGAAATGTATGGATGCATCAGGGATGTTTTTACCTACATTATGTATGTAGATTGTAAAGAGGGTGGGTCCTAAGACTGAGCCTTGTGGTACACCATTGTTGACTGTTAAATAACTGGAGGAAGTACCATTATGTTGAACACATTGCCTCCGGTCTGAAAGATAGTTAGAGAACCAACCAACCAGAGTTTATGACACAAGATGTTCTGATCCACAGAGTCAGAATCTTTAGACAGGTCTAAGAAAAGTGCAGCACAATAATCCTTAGCATCCAGTGCTTCAACAACGTCATTAAGAACCTTCAGTGAAGCAGTGGTTGTGCTGTGTTGTTTCCTGAAACCAGATTGATGTGGAGAAAAGATGTTAAATGAGTCCAGGTCATTTTTGATTTGAGAGTTTATCAGTTTTTCTAGAACCTTGGCTAAAATGCAGAGTTTAGAGATTGGTCCATAGTTGTTCAGTGAGGTGGGGTCACCTCCCTTCAGCAAAGGAAGAACAAAGGCTGTTTTCCAAGTGTCTGGGATGAAGTTTTGGTTTATGGAAAGATTGAAGATGTGGGTCACAGGGACTGTGATGATATGAGCGGCCAGCCTTAAGAAATAAGGTGGAAGTTCATCTGGACCTGCAGATTTTTTAGGGTCAAGATCTTTTAACAGTTTATTGACCTCACTGACTGAGAATGGAGAAAAAGAGAAGGTGTGATTAACTGAGGATTGACTTGTAGGAGGGATTTGATTTGTAGAAGTTTGGTTATTAAGTGAAGTGGCTGATCTTCCATTAGTAACTGTGTCAAATAAAGAACCAGAAGCAACAAAATGTTTGTTGAAACAGTTCAGGATCTCGTGCTTATTTGACACAGGAACAGAGTTAACGAGAAGTTGTGATGGGAGGTCAGATGATTGGGGGGTGCCTGAGAGAGATTTGAAGGTTTTCCAGGATCTGTTAGGGTCATTTAGATTTTTGGAGGTCTGAGATAAGAAATAGTTGCGTTTTGCTGCTTTGACAGAAGTTGTACATTTATTCCTCATCTGTCAAAAACTCAACCAATCAGTGTCTGAGTCAGATTTTCTCGCTGCAGCCCAAAGATGATCTCTCCTGTGCAGGAGGTCAGCTAGATCAGCTTTATCTATCCATCCATTATCTTTTACCCGCTTCTTCCTTTTCAGGTCATGGGGGTCACTGGTGCCCATGTCCAGCAATCACTATGCGAGAGGCAGGGGACACCCTGGACAGGTCGCCAGTCCATCACAGGGACACACAGATACAAACGAGACAAACAGCCATTTGGAGCTGCTTCACACTCGGCTGCGAACTGCTCCAGTGAGGACTGAAGATCACGGCACAATGATGCCAGCGGGGCTACATAGGCAAATAGAATCCTGAGGCCACGGAATAGCAACATTTCATTAGATATTAACGGCAAGATCCTAAACTGATGAGGGTTCAAATGTTTATAAAAGTGCTCACATAAATAAAGTCCTCCACACTGACAGAGCTGTTTGACACCAGCAACCCATTTTGTTTGAACTAGCCTTTCATCCATCAGACCACCACTTTAAAATGGCTGGACTATCCCTTTAAACCCTGAGTGGCTATATTTGTACCTTCAAATCAAAGTTCCATGATGGAAACTTGTAGTCCTTCAGCGCCATGATGTGCTTGTGTCCGTGTTGCACAGCTGGGTGTCATCAGCTGGATGGCTTCTGCTCATGAAATTGAAGAACTGGTATTTTTCCAAACAGACTGGTCAGCATCTTGTGTTCCTGCTGGTATTCAGTTTACAAGTGAGTGGTGGCCATGTTGAAAGATTCCAAATGTAAAACGTGACAGTAAGGGCATTTCAGTGTTGATTTTGTTCCACTAAACATTTCAAACCTCATCATTTATACTTTGTGAAACATTTGCCAGCTGAGTTGAAGTGCAACATGTGAACATGTAGTTTCACGTGTTGTGCCGTAAAATGAGGCAACACACTGAGGAACTGTTACTCATAAATCCCTAACCAGGAAAATCACTCACTAATACCACTTTAACTGGTGATGTGTGACTCATCTGCGCTGCTGATCTCATGCTGCTGATCTCATGCTGCGGTATTCATTCACACCCACCTGCTCACCACCAGCTCATGTTCGGGCTGCTGTTGATACGTTGTATTTTTCTACATTAGTATTTAGCGTATAGATCTTTTGGCGTGCCGTTAGATCCCTACACCATTTCTTTATATACTTTATATTTGTGCTATTGCTGGATGTAATGGACCGTGTTCATGATGCTGTTCCACCTCATGTACCAATGTGATCAGAATGACAAACCTACCTGAGCTTGATAGCAGGTCAGCTAATGCCAACAGAGGATCTAAATGAGTGGTAGCTTTAAAATGACTGAGAACACTCGTTAGGCTGCAACACTCTACTTTATTGGATGTGCAACATGACATGGTGTCAATGACCAGGGACATGTGAGCGTGAATCAAAACGTACAAAAGCAACAGTGTTAGAAAACAAAACGACAGGCGCTTAATAGTTGCAACTTTTTTTTTTTTTTTTTTAAATCACTTTTTGGTCGATAAAAAAGACAAATGTTACAATAAAACAGCTTTACTACAACAAACATTAAAAAGAAGAAAAAGGTTGTCAATGGGACATTCTCCGTCACCTAGCGTTGGTCCGTGGTCCCCCAGGTGCAGGAGTGAGCAGCAGATCACGAGGAGGCGGGGCTCCCCGCGTCGCTGCTCTCACTCGGCTGCCGCTGCATCACCATCTCCTTGGCGATGCAGGTGATCTGACCATTAGTCACTGCACCAGACACCCCCGCCCTGACATACAAAACCAGTGGAACAGGTCTTTGTTTAGACAACTGAGGCCAGTATGCAGGCGTTTGTTGGACCAGTTCACGATTACACTTACTTCTGCTGTGCCTCCTCAGTCACTGGGGTCATTCCTGGCTGCTTCCCAAAGAAGAAACTGGACCACCAGTGGCCAGAGTCCTGCTTGGGAAGACCTGGAAGACAAAGTCAGGAAGAAGATGAGAAACTTCCTGTCCTGAAAACCAGTTTGAAACCATTGCACACTTACAGCTATAAAAACATCCTTCATGAACAGTAAGAGCTCTCCTTTGGGTAACCTTCATGCTTGGCCCTGAGAAGAAGGCATGGGTGCAACTCCACTCTGCTCTAGTCTTATCCGCTCTTCTCAGGTGTAGGTGATTGATATAAAAATATATTTTACAAGGTTTTAAGTTGCCTTTATGCCTATTCAAATATATATTTTGTCTATGTTACTTATCAGAATTAAATGTCTAAATTGCCATAAAAGGCAAGGGTGGAATGATATAGGAATGATTATTTTGATGCTTTTATGTCAATTTATACTTATTTTATACTCATTTTATATGCAGCTTATCTGTGCAAGTCAGGCCTGTACTGCAGATGGGTTTTTTGGAGGAATGAAAATAAACCTCCGGGGGTGCTCTTGCCGCAGGATCTGGCCCATCTTGTGGTTACAGTGACCCGGAGTTTGATGTAGACAGGTCTTTCATCCACCCACGACCTTGGGTTTGAAAGACATGTTTTTATGAGCCATCGCTCTGCTGTACAAACTGCCTTGATGATGGAAAACATGTTTGCTCTGCCCGCACGTCACCCAGTCAGAGGGAGAGTATAAAAGTGTAACACCCAGAATTAAGTGTAGAAGTCTGCTGCGGACCAGCGCGCGGTGCCCAGCTGTTGGTGTGATTCCTGTCACTCGGGTCGAAGGCTTCCCGACCACGTGTCACGGTGAGGGGCTCTCATATCAATTTGTGTGTAAAGAGTGTACAAGTGTACATGTTTTGCTTGGCTGTTTTCTGTGGCAGATTAATAAATGACACTATTATTTCTAGCAGGACAGTCTCCTTGTTTTATTTTCCTCTCGTGTGAATTATTGGGGCCGACCCTTCACGAACCTTTGTTAAAGAAATTTCATAAAACAGTGATTTTCCACTAACTTGTTTGGGTGGAGCTGTCGGTGCAAAGTGAGTGGAACAGCAACAAGTCACTCTGTCTGTTGTGATCCTTAATCACCTGGCCATCATCACGCTTCGATTCCTTTAGCTTACCCAGGCACTACTTTTAAGTGCAGGTGCAGCCATGCTGCACCATCATCTCTGTAAATGCACTCGTCTCTTGAGGTGCCCTCCATCAGCACGGTGACATTCTGATGTAGTTCACTTCTGCTGGGCGGGTCTTCCACTGACGTAGCTCTGCTGGCCAATCAACGGCCGCTGCATACTCGCGTCAAAATCATCACCTCGGAGCAGTCCGCTTGGAACCTCAAGGTGGTCCCATAAACCGGCTGAGTGGGGGTGGGTACCAGCAGTGGGCAGACCTTTAACTGGTGCACAACTAATGGCAGTGGCAAAGCACCACTGGAGGTACAGATTTTTGGCTAACTGATGTTAAACAGGACATGGGACCACTTACAGACACTGAATTATGTTTTTGGTGCAACTGGGACCCTGACGACACAATTTCATTCCACCTCATAAACCACATGTGATGTGAATGACAAGAACCTTGAAGGCAGTGAGAATGAAGGAGCAGCAGCCTCACATCAGCAACATTTACCTTCATTATGAAACTAAGCTCTTGAAAACACTAGTACAGACACCCAACGGTCGACCCGTACAGCACCCTGAGAGGGTGTGGACGACTGGACTAGTCCCAACCAGATCAGAAACCATTACAAGCTTTCTGCAGGTCTCTGACCAGAACTGTTCCACAAGTGGAGCCTTCTGCCAAGTGTGGAGCTCCGTGGGGAACTGAGGGGGCTTCCTAAACCATGTGGTACAGAGTGGCTGTCACTATTTATTTTGATAGACAAGTAATCAATCAATCAATCAAAAAACGTGTTATTTTCAGATGGTTACGTAAAAATCTTTGGACTTTTTTTTTTTTTGGAGTTTTATTTCAATTCAAAATATATTATGTGAAAAGGGGTTTATGGCCTGGCCAAAATATTGTTAGATCAAAATCTTAAAATGTATATGATCCCAAACAAAATACAATTTTGTATAAATTCTGACTTTAACATGCGTTCAGTCAACTATGGCTTGTCTGCCTGTGCACGGTCCTTTAAGCTGTGCAGGACGGATGCTGCTCCTGGTTACACGCACCTGGATGGTGAGGAATGACCTCTCCACTGTACTCCGAACTGCCACAGGAGCTGCTGCTGGACGTGGAGCCGATGCGCCCTGCAGGAGGCACAAACAAGGAGAGGGTCTGAAGGGGCTCTGCTCATCTATGCACCACAGACACTGCTGCACTGCGCAGAGCTGCGTGACGTCCTGTCCAGTGCTTTGCTGCCAAGTGACGGCAGTAGACGTCATGCATGGGCAGCCAAGAGTCACTACTGAGCTGAAATTAAAAAGTCTAAGATATTAACAGGAGGAAACTTGGCCATCTTTTAATGAAAAGCAGAGGCTCCTCCAGCCTCACCCCTGCAGAGCCATGAAGGTCATGTCTGTAATATATTCAGAAACATGTGTACATGTAAATGGACTGTACTTATGTAGCTCCTTTCTCTCTGATCGACACTAAAGCTCTTTACAACAATCTGTGCCTCACTGACCTCATTCATACAGCTCTATACTAGATCTCTACAAATATTAAATCAGAGCTTTACATCACATTCATGCACTGATGGGACACACATCGGAGGGGATGAGGGGTTCAGTGTCTTGCTCATGGATTCAAACCCCCAACCCTTGCACTGGAGGACGACTGCTGTAAGTACTCAGCCACAGCCGCCAGGTCTGCTCAGGACTTGAGAAAGTCACACAGCAAAACGGCAGCACAACATTAAGTCTACTTGTGATGGTGCAGCAGTGTCAGCCAGCAGCCTCACGTCGGTAGTAATCAGTGGTTGCCACAAGAGAACCGCCTGCTGGTATTGCTGCCATTCTTCTAGTGTTGGTCACTGCAACGTGCTGGATGGACTCCTGAGGAGGAAGCACACAAGTAAACATTAAAACTAAACGATCAACACCCCGGCCCGAAACGTCTACAGACACAAAATCCTTTCTTTGACGGACTTAAACAAAGTCCTGTACAGTGTCTGTGAGAAGTATTCACCCACTCAAGTTGTATATTTTTATTGCTGTCGGATCAGTCATGAACATCATAAACAGACCGTCTTTAGAAACACAATCATTCAACCTTTATTTACACAGCTTAATCCCATTGAGCCACCAGGACTCATTTACAACAGAGACCTGATTTAACAAAGAATCATGACAACAATGGAAAAGTAGAAAAGAGGCAAACAGATGTTTTATATATTAACAAATTAAAATAGATGGCAAAAAAAATAGCAAAAAACAGCTGGATTCTAAGGCAAATATAGAAAACTAAAAACAGGAACATGTCTCTGCATCATTAAAAAAACGGGTTATACACTCAAAACACGCTCATGTGCTCATTCAATTCACACTACTGTTCATATTCGCACTGCTGTTCATATTCACACTGCTGTTCATATTCACACTGCTGTTCATATTCACACTGTTCATATTCACACTACTGTTCATATTCACACTACTGTTCATATTCACACTACTATATTCACACTGCTGTTCATATTCGCACTACTATATTCACACTGCTGTTCATATTCGCACTGCTGTTCATATTCGCACTGCTGTTC